GACAGAGCAGCACACAGCAAGAAGGTGGCTCTCTACAAACCAGGAAGAGAGGAACCCTCACCAAGAGCTGAATCAACCAGCACCTTGATCTTGGACTTCCCACTCTCCAGAACTATGAGAAATAAAGGCCTGTTGTCAACAAAATTTAGCTCTGCACATCGATAAAGGTGGCATCAAAGCAGTTAAAAAAAAAAAAAAAAAAGTACCTAGGGTGTAAATGAAACAGATGAGTGGTGAGCTGATGACTATTGAAGTGGGCAGAGACAAGCAGGGAGGTCTGTGCCAACACTGTCCAAAAGTATGTCACGTGGGCCATATATGTCATTTCAAATTTCCCAGTAGCCACATTTAAAAAATTAAAAAGAAATAGGTGAATCCATTTTTTAAATGATCTTTAACTCAATAGATTCAAACTATAATCATCCCAACGTGTGTCCATAGCCCGATCTGAAGCGCTCTGTCTCACGGCTGGTGGTTTCCATACTGAATGGCAGAATTCTGTGCTAGACACTCTACTTTTAGGCATGTTGAAAACGTTTTCCAGAATAAAAACAAAAGGTTGACAAACAACGCAAAATGTCTGTGTCTTAAGCTGCCCAGTCTACGGTGTTTCGTTATGTCAGTTGGAGCTGAGACGGGGACTCAGGGCCTCTCTCTCTCCGACTGAGATTAGTAAACCACTTCTACCCCTTCCACTCCTTCCCTTTTCATCTTCAACACAGAACAAAAATGAAAAATGAATGCCACGAGTTATTTACCGGAAGCCCCTGTTTCAAGGCAGTGAGGTATCTCAGTTCCCTGCAGGTAGAGTAGATGGCTTTGCAAAAGTCTTTACTCTGGGGGACCCGGGCCCAGCCCCACCTGCAGTATCCCTGAGATCAGTCTCACAGTGAGGAACAAGACACTGGGAACAGCATTGCTGGAGCACAAATGAGTGATTTTGCTCTGCAGCCCCATGGTTTAAAGGCCATCTCCACTCTGCCTACCCTTCTGGCCTCATTCATTTTTCTTCTAAACTGAGTTTGTCCAACCCTTGCGCTCACTCCTGCCGCCTTCTTATCCCCAGCAAAATCGCCACCAGACTGCACTTCTTGGCGGAGGGCTGCCCCCAGCAACTTGGGAAGCAGAGAACTTGGGATGAGGGAGTAGACACAGGGCATGCGGAGGGAGTGAAAGCACGTGCCGCCACCTCCCTGGTATCACTGTCACTGCCTCCTGGCTGGTCCCTGCCAGTCCCTGGCACAGATCTGGCCTGCCAGAGGATACAATCTCACTCTGCAATTGCACGCTCTGTTCTAGCTGCTGTTACATTTGAGATTGAACATAGAAAAAAAGACACAATAACCATATTGAAAAGCTGACTCTGTCCCTGCCCAGCCTTTGGTTTTTGTGGGGGAAACCGAGTTTGATGCGGAGGGACGGCGGGCTAAGGAGGATCTAGGCCTTCTGTGGCTGAGCAGCTCCATCTGACTGTCCTGGGTTTCGCCTTCTGGCTCCTTGGCTGGGACATGGGGTAACGCAACTCCCGCTCCGAAGGCTCCCTCTCAAGATTCTGCAGGGGCACCCTTTCATTGACTATGTGTGGGATGAAAGGCTAGGAAAATGGCTCTATTTGGGGTTCAGTGAGTGTTTTCCTAGAAGGGTGACATTTGAAAATCACATCCACTTGGAAAGGGAGAAGGAGACAGAGCAGAATGACCCGGGCTTCTCCTTCTCTTTGAAAATGTGTTGTGATGCTCTCTGCGTCTGCCCCCTCCTCTGGAATTTACAGAGCCAAATGTTTGGAGAGGATGGTCTTCGACAAGGTGCAGGACCTGGGGATGGAGGGAGGTGGGCTATAGATGAGGAAGACCCAGGTCCTGTCCGAGCATGCCGGGAGAGCTGTCTGTGCGGGCTCCAACAGGAAGGGGCAGGCTTGCAATGAGGAAACAGATTAGAGCCTGGGAAATCCTCGAAGCCCTCCTGACGTGGCGCCCACTGCAGCTGCACCGATGCAACCTCTAATTATACCGCTGGTGGCAAGAATGAGCTCATGCTGTCTGCAAGTGACTTTCCCAGTTACCAGCCTCTCTCAAAGTGGCAGACTCCCAGCTCAGCCTTCTCCCGGGCCAGCAACACTCTGGCAAGAAGCAAAATCAGAGTTCCTTCCTGTGTGTGTGTGTGTATGGGTTGAGGCCAAAAAGAGCTCAAATGTTCTTCATCCTAGATGGTTGGAGACAGAAATTTGTAATAGGAGCTGCAGGTGGAGTGACGTCCTTTCCTCTTTAACCTGCAGGCACGCCTGGAGACTTCCAGCAAAGAAAAGGAAACCTCCTTACTCGCCCCAGCCCCTGGTGGGCCCCCTGTCCCACATGTTAGGGGTTAAACTCCAACAAGAAGGTTTGCAGGCCTTCAAAAGGTTGTGCAAGAGGCCTCCTCTTAATAAGGGAGTGACGCTGTTCGAGGCCCCGGGCACATGCAGCTCAGATTCCTGGCTGCTGGACTTCTGGGAATTAAGCATGATTAGGGTGAAATCCACCCAGGTTTCAGCCATTTGGGTCCACACGAACTCCCACCCTCTGTGATGTAAACAGAGATGTAGCCCTTTCTGCTATCTGGCCTTAGAAAGAGGAGAGGTTCTCTGCAAATATGGCTCTCAGGCCCCCTCTGTGAGCGAACAGTGTAACAGCACCCTAAAGACCAGTGCTCTTCCTGACAGTCTGGGAAGGGCCTGAGCTCGCAGCTGGGGACATTCAGAATATGTAGAGGGTGTGTACTGTCACATCTGGGCATCATTAAGCAGGTGGGCGTGGTATGGCCACCAAGGGGGAGGAGAGCTGGTCTCATCGAGGCTGTCAGCCCCCAAAGCCCTCCCATTTAGCAATCAGCCAGCCAGAGGGGCTTCAGCTGGGGATGTAGCACAGGTTGCCAGGGGGAAGCTTGTTTGAATTAGGTGATTGAAGGGCTGTAGGGAAGGCAGGCCAGCTTCTCAGACATTTTCAATAAATGCTCACGGTTCTTCTTCCAAAGCAGGTGAAATGAGAATATGTAAGTAAGGATATATTTGCAGTGGCTATACCTATTTCACAGCAATCAGAAGGGGTGTCCTTGGGGTGGGAAAGAGCTGGCAATCAGTGAGTGACAGTCCTAGACTTCAAGGACCAGAAAGGCTAGACAGCAGTGGGGGCCCAGACTAAGCAGGACATGGGAGAGAGAAGAGGGAGGCGCTGTGGTAAACGGTGGAGGGTCTCACTAGTTTTTTGTTTCCCAGAAAACATATCAGACACGCAGGGCCGACTTCTCCATTAAGCACCGCAGGCCCAGGGCCAGGGCCCATGGTCTTTTAGGGGCCCGTGAACATGTTTTCATTTCTTTTAAAAGCAGAAAAAATAAGTAAAGCTTTAGGTTGAACAACATGTTTTACTATCAATATTAATTATGCTTTTCTTTATGCCAACGCAGTGGCAAAATATTATTTTTAATATTTTTGTTTGCGGGGAAAGAGTCCACCAAGGTGAAGACCCCTTAAATTTTCCTGATGCCCAGGAAACTTGAAGTGGAGCCTGTGAGCCCCAGCGGAGCTTCTTGGAGGACGTGCTAGCTCTGGGCCACAGCAGAGGACGCCTCCGGCCTCACTTGTTTGAATTCCTCCACCAATGTCCCGTTCTTGTACCCTTTACAAGCCGAGCTCCGAAGAAAAAAGAAACAAAGAACGCACGCGCCTTGGCACCAACTTCACTTTCTCGGGCTTCTGCAGGTCCCAGGCCTCCCGTGTCTCCCTTTCCGCCCTGAGCATCTCCAGACTTTGGAGAGCCTGACCTGGGCAGGAGAAACTGGAATCAACCGGTGGGCCGAATCCCTTTTCCCAACCGCCGCCCCCGCCCCGCCATCACTCCATGTCGGGAAGGAGGCTGGGGGTCCCGGCTAAAGGAGAATCTGGGGGTCCTGTAAGGCCTTTGAGAGAGGAGTGCGGGCGAGGCTGGAAGGACAGGCTGGGCTGAGAGCGGACGGGCTCGAGCGCATCTCTCCGGGCGCGGCGGGAGGTTGACACTGCTGCCCCCCGGCGGGTCCCGGAGCCAGCGGGCGCCTGTGGCCGCGCAGTCGGATTGTGTTTCTGCGGGGCTCGCTCCCGGGCCTGGCTCGGGGCCGCCGCCGCCGCCGCCCCTCCCGGAGCGCAGGCTGCTCTCCAGTCGCGGCCACGGGGTAGCGCTCGGCCCCCCTCTCCGCGTCTCCGCCTCCGCCTCCGCCGCGCTCGTCCCCGGCTCACGCTGCCCCCGCAGCTCCCGCTCGGCGCAGGCAGGAGCTGCTCTCAGGACGCCGAGCCCGGGAAGCTGAGGGCGGCGGGCTCGGCGAGAGGCGGCGGCGGCGGCCGAGGCTCTGGGGTGGCCGCTGCTCCTCCGGCCCGGGAGGGAGGTCGGCGATCGCCGGGCGGCCGAAGGGGCGCCGAGTCCCCGGAGCCGGGGCTGCCCGCCGGGCTCTCAGTGCGCCTCCCTGAGAGCTCCGGCCGGGGCGCGGCGGAGGGCAGAGCCGCCGGTCTCCATCCTCTGGCCGGCAGGAGGCTCCGCGCCGGGGCGCCGGCCACAGCCCGCGTCGCGGAGCCCAGCACCCGTCCCTGCCGCCCCGCGGCCGGCGCGGACATGGGCGCTCCAGGCTGCTCGCCCGGATCCCGGACCCGCAAAGTTTGCTAGCCGGCTGGGCGCGGAGCCGAGGGCGCGCCCGGCCCCGGCGCCCCGGGAGGGGACCCGGAGTCTCCGGATTCGGCGCGAGGGCGGTGGAGCCCAGCGGGGTGGCTCGGCCCCGCCAGATGCCGCCTGCAAAGTTAGAGAGAAGAAAACTTCAGCTCCAGGGAGATTCGGACCGCTATGCTCACCGCGCCCCCCGAAACCGGCGCCCCTAAAAGAACCCCCGCACCCGCGTCTGCTGCCGCGCTCTGCTCGGGCCGGGTCCTGGGGGCCCGGCGCCTGGAACGGTGGTGACTGCGTTGGCCGGGAGAACCCCACCAGGGGGCGGGGAGGGGGCGGGGGGCGGGCAACGTGGCCACGGGAGGAAGTTTCCTGAAGTTGTCAGTTTATTCCGGAGCTCGGCCGGCGACCCGGCCGGATCGCAGAGGCCGCCCTGCCTGGGTGAAGTCGGAGTTGGGGTGCTCAGGAAGAGCGGCGCCCTAGTCGGAGAGGGCGGCTTGGCCTCTTTCTGCCTTCTCGCCCCTCGCCTTCCGGGCGCGCTGCCGGGCTCGGACTAGGACAGAAGAGGAGGAGGAAAGGTTGGGGTGGCCAGCGCTGCCCCTCCCGGGCTTATTACGCCCGGGGCGCGGAGCCGCGTAGACTGTCTCCCGGGACGGAGCCACGGGGTACCGGACCCCACCAGGATTAAAAAACAGGGCGGAGGGAAGGGAGACCTCGAGGACCCCCTCTCCAGGCTGGTCACCATGTGGGGGCTTTGGATCTGGACGCTGCTGGCTCTGCATGAGATCCGCGCGGCCGGAGCCCAAGGTAAGTAGGGACCCCCACGTGGGGACGGAGAGGGAGCTGGGAGAGGGGGCGGGGGAGGGGCGGCGGGAGCCCGCCGGCCTCACGATGGCCTCCTGGACACCCGGCTTAGCCGCGGCAGAGCCCTCTCCAGGGAGTTTCAAGACGCCCCCATCTCCCGAGTTTTGGGGCTCTTTTGGGGGTGGAGCAGTCTCTCCGAGACTTGTGGCTTCCGAATGGGGGAAGGTGGTGACGACCTGGGGAGGCAGAGAAGAGCCCAAGGTGAGGTGGGAGGGGCGCTCCCCTCCCCGCGTTTGCCGTGGATGCCCTGCGCAGGCTGGGGAGGGGTGCGACATTCCGTGCCGGGCGCCACACTCGGCTCCACTGAGCTTCCCAGACTGAGCTCCTGGTTCCCTGCTCCGTGTCTGAGGGGGAAGGGCAGGGCCGGGCCCCTGCCGGGCAGGCGATGGCCTCCCCGGGCGAGGGAAAGGGATGGGCGGGCGCTGGGTGCCAGGTCGCTCGCCCTGGGAGAGTAATCGCCCGGCGTGGCCACGTACTGGAGCCCGCGCCTGGCTGCCCGCCCCTGGCTGCCCGGCCGGCCGCTGGGGCTGGGGGTGCTTCGCTGCGCGGGCCTGGAGCCGGGGTCGCGGGTGCAGCCGCGGACCCACCGGGGGGTGGTGCAAGGCGAGGGTCTGAGGCCTCCCCTCCCAGCCCTCCATCCGCACACAGCATCCCCGCCCCTGCCTCCAGCCTCCACGATTCGCTCGATCGTCTGTGCAGCCGCTTGCTGCTGTGACCTGTGGCTGCCGGGAGCAGCCTTATGGTGGAGAAGGGCTGGTGGCTTTGGGGTTGGGACTGTTACGAAAGATCCGAGACGTGACCTGCGCTGCCGGCTTCCTGAGGGTGGATGCCCAGACGTCTCACTGGTCCCTGGGCAGGTCCCCGCGGGGAAGGGCGGCTGCACCGGCGGTTCCGCGCCTTTGGGGTTCGCCGAGCCAGACAGTGGTGTCAGCGGTGTCCGAGCGGCGCCTGCTGGGGGTGGAGGGAGACGGAGCCTGGACTGAGCTCCAGGACTCTCAGGGCTAGGCCTTCACTCTCCCAAGCTCAAAAGGGGGCCAGACCCACCCTGGGGGGCCGGACTTCGGGGACTGCAACCCACTCCCCACGCCGCCTCTTGGCCCTCCAAACCTTCTGGGAAGAAGGGACCCCCGTGCGCCCAGCGTCAGGCAATCCAGAGAGCCAAGATCAAAGAGATGAAAATAATCAGCTCTCACTCACAGGGCTGAGGGGAGGATTTTATGAGGTAATTTACGTAAAAGCACTTAGAAATTTTGTAACGAGCCCTATAAATGTAAGGTAATAAAAGTTATTATTTTTATGATTATCATAAAATCTTGGAGCAAGCGAGGAGCTCAGAGGTCATCTTATTCTAGCAGCCATTTAACAGATAGGGAAACTGAGGCCAAATGGCATCAAGTGACTTGCCCAAGGCCACTTTGTGATCTGGGGGCAGAGGCAGGTCTGGACCCAGGTGAGTTCTGAGCCCTCTCCCTCAAACCAGGACCAGCCACCTGGAGCCTTGTTGTCTGGGGCGCCTCTTTGCAGGGTCCCAGGATGACCCTGATGCTGGCGAATAGGAATGGGTTGTCCTTCATCCTGGAGTGGCCTTACAGTTGTGCTCTGAGATAACCAGTGTTAGCAGTCAAAAGCCTGGATGGCATGGAGAAAAGGGATGCTGGCATCTGTCTGGACCCTTCTAACTTCATGGTTTCCCTGGGCAGGTGGCTCACCAATTCTTGTCTCATCTAGGACCAGGCCCTTATGGAGTCCCCAGGGCACCTGATGGCCCTTCCTGCTCCACCTCCACACGTGTGCCATCCACTTGAGGCCAAGACCCCATCCCTCCTGCTGAAGTTAAGGCCAGGTGGCCCCCTGCCCCTGCGCTTCCTGCAGGAGGGGCTCCCCTGTCAGAAGCCGAGAAGGTCTCTGATTGATTCACTTCCTCTCTGCCTTTCTTGTTTGCTGCCTTTTTACATGTCAGGCTGCCTAGGTCCCTGCTGCTCTGCTCGTGTTCTCTGGCCCCGAAAGTGTTTTCCAGCATCGGGTCCTCTCCTGCCATGTGTGTCCCCAGCAGCAAACCTTGCAGAGGATTGTGGGAAGGCGGTCCTAGGCTTGGGCAGTGCTGGGTTTAGGTGTTGGAGGGGGTGGGATTAGGGCATGGGGTCTTTTCTTATTCTGCTTTGGAGTTAGAGAATGAGTTTCTCCCAGTCTCAGGCCATGACATTAATCCTTTGGGGGGTAGCTGAAGCCACCAGCTCTGTCATTTCTGAGCCCACAAGCCCGATTCTCCAGGCATGGCACAGAACGAGGGACCAAACAATTGTTCTTCCCTTGAGACAAACTTCACATTGGCCACTGTCACCAGATTTTATCTGGGCCTAGCCTGATTGTTTTTCTTAGGTGCTGGATCTGAGAGACATCACCTGGGTATACTGAAAGTTAACATTTACCATTGTCCCTACACCCGATGGGTCACATGATTCAAACTCATTTCCCAAGCAAAGTACGGTGAGGTTGTAGAAGAGCATTGTCTTTGGCAGCAGAAAGAACGGGTTCTCATGATCTGGCTTTGCAGCTTCGCTCTAGAGGCCTTCAGCAAGACTCTTGGCCACTAAGAGCCTCAGTTTGCTCATCGGTACCTTGGCAAGAATAACTCTTGCCTTATAGAATTGCTAGGAGAATTCAAGGTGTCCCGGGGACAGGGGCCCAGCCAGTGCCTGGCACACAGAAGGTACTTAATACGTGGCAATTATTACTACCGTTTTGATGGTTTTAACGCTAAGCTAGGAGTCCATGAAGACGGTACCCTGCCACCCACCAATAAGACCTTGAATTCTTTTTCCTTACCCAGGAGGCTTCTTTAACTTCTTTTCATGGCCACATTACTGCATCTCCAAGAGTGGTCCTCAAGCACTTGGTTCCCAGGGAGTTGTAGCAATGCAGATTCTTGGGCTGCACTCCCAGACACTGTGATTGGAAAGGTCTGGGTGAGCCTGGAAGTCTTTTAACAAGAGCCTCAGAGGGATTTCTCATGTGCTTGGAAGCTTGATTACTGCTGGAGGTCATCCTGGCCAGCCTGAGATGTTGGGAGGAGGGCAGGAGCAGTCGAGCCAGATGGTCCAGAAGTTTCTTTCAAGAGAATCATGCCTGGGGGAAGAACAGAAGGAAGGGACTCTGAGCCGAGTGAACAAGGCAGTGGGGAAAACCCTGAAAGAGGACTGGAACCCCCAGCTCTAGAGGCTCCTGAAAGGCTCCAAAGGGAGAGAGTTTAGTGCTGGGAGCTAATCACAATAAAAGCCAACAGTACACGAGGGAGCAGATGAAAGTTTAATTACATGGTGTGGCTAAGCTGTAATTATTAATTACTGACAGCAAAAAATAACTTATTGATCAGGGCCTTTTGCTAATTACCGGGAGGCCGAGTGTCGTGTTTGCCTGGGGCTCAGCTGTCAAAAGCCCCACTAGAGAATGGAATGGGGGTGTCCGTGCTCTCCCGTGCCCCTCTTTCCCTCACCCTTTGTACCCCTTGGCTTCAGCTGGGGAGTCTGGAACATTCTGGCAGTGGTTAGACGGGGGATACAGCTTGGTGCTTCCACTGGCTGCAGAGAATCACCCCTGCCAGGGAGGAACAGAGTTCAGACCCCCACCCAGAGGCTGCATTCTGCGGGCTGCCGGACACCTGCCTCAGAAATCCCACCCTCAACCCCCCCCCAACACACCCTCTGGCCCCGCTTCATGCATTTGTTGGGCAAATATTTATCGACTGTCTCTCCCTCGTGTCCCCTACTGGAAGGCCGGCATAGGGGCCAGGAACCTTGTTCTACAAGGGAAAGGAGGCTGGGAAGGAGGCCAAATTCTTTACAGCGATCCTCTGTTTAAACAGCGCCTGAATGGCTGATTTTAAAATGAAGTGTTAACCTGCACGTTGGTTTGCATTTGACTTTGTACCACAGGACGCAGTCAGGCTGTAAGCTAACCAGAAAGGGAGAATGGGCTTGTCTTCTATCCTAAAGACTCATGGGAATCATTGCATTTGACTTGAAAGACACACGAAATGTCATCTAGGACAATCCTCTGCCCACAAGGCCATCAGGTCTCTGCTTACATACCCTTGATAACGGAGGACTCACTACCTCTCGACAAAAGCTGGTTGTTATGTTTTATGTTGATGAAGAAATTGATCTCCTTGGCCAGGCGCTGTGGCTTATGCCTGTAATCCCAGCACTTTGGGAGGCCAAGGTGGGTGGTTCACCTCAGGATGGGAGTTCAAGACCAGCCTGACCAACATGGAGAAACCCCGTCTCTACTAAAAATACAAAATTAGCTGGGCATGGTGATGCATGCCTGTACTCCCAGCTACTCAGTAGGCTGAGGCAGGAGACTCGCTTGAACCTGGGAGGCGGAGGTTCTGGTGAGCCAAGATCACACCATCGCACTCCAGCCTGGGTAACAGGAGCGAAACTCTGTCTAAAAAAAAAAAAAGAAAAAGAAAAAGAAATTGGCCTCCTTATAGCTGGTTTTCCTGGGATCTGGCTGTGGTTTCCTCCGATTGGCTGGAGACCACTCCCTGTCCCTCCTGACTCCTAGCCCCTCTGGGAGGCAGGAGGCTGATTGGGAATTGATGTCGGGTGTTACTGTGCTCCCTGCGGGGTTTCTACGCCGCTCCCCCTGGAGCGTGTTGTCGAAGACAGCCCTGGAGCTGCCTAAAGCGGTGGGAATTAGTCATCATAATTTGGGGCCTTGGGATGCCAATAGCAACAAATGGGCCAGCAGCAACTGGCGGCTGTGGCCCACTGCCTGTAATGGAAAGGAAAACAAGCCGGTTGCTGAGACACCCAGTGCCCCCTCCCCTAGGTGTCCCACCCCCAGCTGTCCATGTGCTGGGCAGGAGGCAGGGCCAGTGAGCAGTGCTGAGCATGGACTGTCGAGGGCTGTTCAGTGTCCTGGGGGAAGGGAGAGAGGGA